AGCATTTTTCATTTCTAGTAATTGTTGAAAAAATGTGTGTCCAAACTATAAAAAGACAAGCATTTAAACACTGACCAATATTACTCTCCATAAGTTAGAGAAACTGGTTTTCTTTGGGCTTGCTAACAATCAAGATAGCACAGGGAAGTTATACCTCAGCCTTGTAAATATTGAGCACAAAACTGACTTTTTTTTTTTTTTATAGAGTTTCAGTCTTTTTTTTTTTTTTTTTTTTTTTTTTTTTTAATTACAGGATTCCAGTGGTGGCTCAAGCCGTGGTTCTCAACAAGCCAGCACCCAGCCTAAATCTGGAGGTTCTAAAAACTATGGGACCACCTACTGGAGTGCTAGTTAGGCACAGCTCTTTCTTTTTTCCTTTTTTTTTCTCTCCCTCTATCTCTCTCGTTCTATCCCTTTTTCCTCATCTTTATCCTCCTACTTTCCATGCTCACTTCACCTAACCAACTATTTCAAAGTCCATGCAGCAGGGGTTTGGTCCTTTTTCTGGAGTAGTTGCTATAGCAACAACTTACTGCTGCAATCTTTGAATGGACTTCATAGTTGTCTGACTGGTGGATGGTGACTTGGGAGGTTGAGCAGTTGGTGGTTCCTTTTTTGCCCTCTTTCAAAAGACGTCTGTCTGTGTGAATTTCCTACTCTAGGGTTGGCTGCATCTATCAGCACTGTGCTGTTGTAGCAATACTAACTAGCTAATAGTCTTTTAGCAGCTCTATGTACAGTTTCGGCTCCTCTTTTGTTTATCGTAAAGTTTTGTGCCAGACTCCCTGGCACAGAGACCTTGAAACATCTCTTTTTGCCAGATAGGAACAGTGGCATGTGATATTGTGCCTTAAATGGACTACATTGTGTACCTTGCACCAAAATGGCAAGCCTTGCCGTGAAAATGAATTATTATAAAGAAAACTAAATCCTATCAAATTCGAAACAGTTTATTTATATATATATATATATATATATATATATATATATATATAAATATATATATAAATGAATAGATATATATTTATATATATATATGTGTGTGTGTGTGCATGTCTTTGTACCTGCATGTGTGCATAGGTGATTGAGTATGTCTATATATTTCCCTATACATATATTTATATCTACTGAGTAAGTAGATATGGGATTTGCATGTTATGTAATATACACATTGTGAAAATGAAATGAATGACAAAAATTTGCTGACAGTTGTGTGAATCTACAAATAAATGGTATAAGAGACTCTGTGTATATGTATATATAAAAATATATAGCAAACAAGTTTGTATATACACAAACATTTACATGTATGTGTAACAGATTTGTGTGTATATGTATATATACATACATGCTTGCATATGCATATTAATGTCATTGTTTTAGTATATATACTTATATTCACACATGCAAATATATATTCACACACACACATATACATACATATATATATATATAACACATACATGAGTACACCCACACATGTATATATTTATATAAATAAAGTGCTCCCAGGATATGGAGTTACTTTGAGATACACACACGCACACATATGTATATGCACAGGCATACACACATACACATATGTAGAGGAGTGTTGGAAAAAATCTTGGCCCAGCCCTGTTCTAAAAATCAGTATTCTGATGTTTGACTATGTGAAATATTGATTTTGGCGAGTGTGTCAGTCCAAGAACTTTTCAGCACTTCTTATATATATATATATATATATATATATATATATATATATATATATATATATATATATATAAATAAAAATAAGGAATTAGCTGCGTTAACAGCAGCCATTTTTGTCAATTTCATTGCTGTAAACTTTTTTAGGGTCACGTCATTCTAACATAAAAGCAAAAATTCAAACTAAAGATGAAAGAAAAAATATAAATCTTGTTTCTAACCTGACCGCTGTTGGCTGAATATTTTGTGTGCATGTGATGATACTGTTAGTGGATTCGCCTGAATATTTTTTAGATGAGGTGAATCTCCTCTTTATTTCTATCTTCCCCCTGCCCACCCAATTCTTCTTTCCCTTCCCCTTATATATATATATATATATATATATATATATATATATATATATATATATATATAATTTCTTTCAGCTGTGTAATCTGCAAAAAGAAAAATTGTATAAAAATTTAAAAAAATCTAACAAAAAGAGACCAAATATGGAAGAAAAAAAACTTTAAAATAAAAAAATGGAAAAAAAAAATAATTTCATGTTTGCTTTTTTTAAATGGAAGCTGAAGTGGACGTAAATTTCTAATTGTGTCAATAAAGAAATTTAACTTCCCTGGCCAAAGGGTATGTTTTTTGTTTTGTTGTTGAATGCTCTTTTTTGTTATGACCTAGACTCCTCATTCCAGATCTCTTCTTTTTAGTTCTCCCTCTTTGCTCCACTTATACTTAAAATATTCTTCTTTCACCCTATTTTCTCACTATTTATATTTTTGTGATATTTAATGGCTTTGAGGTAAATGCAAAAAAAAATTAAAATGAGTTTGAAGCTTTTTTGAGACTTTTCTTTGGTATTCTACTGCCCACCATTGCAAAAATAGCCCATGCCGCTATTAGTAATTTTTACTGATTCAAAGCAATATTAACTCATTTTATGTTTAAATTTCTGGGATGAGGAGTTATCATTTACAGTCTAAATATCCTTTGTTACAATCACAATGTTTTGGTCATTGTACTTGCCAACCTTCTTCAGATGTGCATTGATTGGAGTGACTTTTAAGGTACTTCAAATTGAACCTTTTATTTAATCTTTGGGAATAGATTTTTCTTATGCTACCCCTGTACCATTCTACCCTCATAGATTAAATAAAAGGTTAAATTGAAGTTTACCCAGATCAACACACCTCAAAAAAGGTAAAAAAAAGTGGATGTAACGCTGTGATAATAATCAACCTGCAGACATTAGGCCGACTGTAAATAAAAATAACTTAATTTATGGAAACAGTATTTTTATTTTTTTTTATTTTTTTTTTTATTTTTTTTAAATTTTTTTTAATTTTTTTTAATTTTTTTTTTTTTTTTTTTAACCAATTCACCATAGTAGTACATTTTTCCCCACCCAGGGAATGTTGTAAAGAGCAAGATTGAGACAGTAAGTAGGACTGAGTTAAAAACATTCCTATTCAAAACTGAACTTTTTACATGCATATATTGTGTGAACTTAGTTTGTCAGACAAAAAGTAATATTACAAAAAACCAAACTGATATTGCAACTGATTGGAATTTAACTTCAAATATTGGGTTTGGCAAATTTAAAATTCTCAAGGAATGTAAAAGAAAGTTTGTATTTTATATTAAATCAAAATATGGGATTCTTATGCTGGCACAATGTTTTCCCCACCAATACCCCTTTTTTTTTTTCTTTTTTTTTCTTTCTTTTTTTTTCTTTCTTTTTTTACCACAGGTACCATTCTTGTATTTGAAATGAAAGTATGTACAAAGACAGTGTTTTTCTTAAAGAAAAAAAAAATGAAAATACAGCTTAGTTATTCAAACTGTTGTTAATCACTGGTGATGACTATAAAGATGAAGTATTTTGTCACTGAAAACTTAGTCTATCTACCAGTTATGTACCCTGTATGTTGTAGTTTTCACTGAAATAAATAAGCATTTTTTTTTCACCATACTTAATATATAAATGTAGAAGAATTAATGGAGTATAATATTTGTAAGAAAAATTGACTCCTGGAGTGTGAAAGGTTGGCAACCCTTGATATTTAATATTTAAGAATCAAAGTATTCAGTTTCCCTATTTGTAGAGTTATTTCACAAGCTTGTCTTTACTCTTGTTTTTGTTGAATGACCCATATTTGTGGCATTGTATAAAAAAAAAAAACAAAAAAAATCAGATTAGCAAATGGTTTGTATTCAACCTCTAATTCTTTTCTCTCTTAACACAGCTTCAGATTTCTTAAAGTTCGAGTTTTTTATATTGTGTATTTGTGCAGCAATTAATAGGAAGGATGATGAGAACTGGGCTACGGAGGGAAAATCAACAGCATACTGAAATGAATCAATCTTTCCTTTTCACTCTCATACCTATATGGCTGATGTTTACAAATTTTTCAAAAACATGTGATAATGCTTATTACTAAAATATTTTCATCACACTTTTTAATAGAATTTCCAGATGTATAATTTTTAAAGCAGTTAATTGGAAGACTTGAAAAAAAAATAATTTTCTGTATTTATCAACATTGTTTTTTTTTCTTTTTTCCTAGATATTTTCAAACAGAAGCAGTGAGTATATAGAATTGATTGAACTCTTAGAAAAAGATCTTGTATAATGTTCTTGTAATTGCTATAAATTTCTAAAGAATAGTTTCAAGTATTAGCAACTCTTTAATCAAACTTGATTATGTGCCATGTAGAGTATAAGATGTTTTACTCTTGACTTCATTGAAAAGAGAGCTTATGCATTAACTGTATTCTTTGTATGTGTTGTTTTGTGGATTTGATTACAGTAATTGTGAGTTCAATCCTTAGGCCAGATAATGCAAACTTAGACTCAGTGGAAACCAGGTAGGCAATAACAACACTATTAAATAAAGACAAGATATCCCTAGACAATGGAAAAAAAACTACCCCTCCTCCCCAATTAAATAAAGGGTTCAGTTTGAAATTCCCTGGTGGTTACTTGGATTAACATGCACCTGAAGAAGGCCAAATGACAATGGCCAAAACGTTTGTAATAGGACCACAGTCTCAGTATAAGTAACTCCTTATCCCTTACTATTCACAAAGGAAATGGAAGCCTTATTGAATAAATTTTTATATTATCTGAGTTTATTATTAGGCCTATTTGTGTGTCTTAAGAGTTGTTTGTCACAGTAATTTTGCAAGACTTGCATCAACTTAACAGGTAAGTTTGTCATATGCAAAGTTCTCTGCTCACAAAATGAGATGGGGGAACAAATCAGTCTGATCATGGGTGGAGGTAAACCCGGTGGCATCAACCTCACTAGAAGGAA